ACAACATACACGTATCATTCTATTTTGATATATTAATGTTTAAAGTATATCAAACAATACAAAAAACTGGTATCTCAAATCTCCCAATTAAAGAAATAAGATACCAGTTTTTTTTTAAGTTTAATATGATATGTCGACTGAAATATCTGACAATTGTACTAAAAAATATATACCTCATTGAGTGGACCTAGATATATGCAATGTCCTCTTAAATGTAAGAAGTGTTAAAAAGTTCTTTTTTTTTACCTGTTTACTTTAAAAATCCACCATAGTCCAAAGAACGATGATGTTATACACTACAATTCGCCCTTTGATAGGCCTTTAACAGTTAGCAATGTCTATACTGGAAAGTCAGCTAAACAAGGCCTTTTCATGATACAATATGAGGCATTTGAAAACAAACAAGTGGCTTGAAATCTCATTGGAATAGCTTCACTCTGTGGAATTTAAGGATAATCCAGGTACTACATTGTTTATATTGGGAAAAAAGCATTGTAGGAAATTTAGAGATTCTGCCAGCTATATGAATAAGCAGTTACGTCTGTTACAAAGACGTATAAATGTATATATTATATATAAAGACATTTCTTTGAATCAATTTTGGCAGCAAACATTTACTAGTAAATCCCAAATTTACATCTAATATTCAAGTATACTCTTTTGGAGAATTTAACATCTGAGATATTACTGATGCACATATCTCTATGGCAAAGGTGTTTGTCTCGCCTTGACGAAGTCAAAAAGCGAGACATGGGTATGCTGTTTCAGGCGTCGGCGTCAACAATGTACTAGTTTGTGATTATGTCTAGTTTAAAGTAAACTGCTACTGATAAGTCAATGATATTTAGTATGCAGTTGTATTAGCATTGGTTCATCTTATTTCCATGGAGATTATTTGAACCTACCCCCTCAGTCATGGTCTATTGACTTTAAAACTTCCGCTTAATTTACATGTATTAGTTTGTGATTAGATCAGTCTAAGATGAACCATTAATGTTAAGTCAATGCTATTTGGTATGCAATCGTATATGTATTTGCAAGTCTTATTTCCATGGAGATTATATAGCCCCATCCCCTCATTATGGTTCATTGACTTTGAAACTTTTACATAGTTTACAAGTTAATGTTTGTGTTTAGGTTTGTTTAAAGGGATCGACGTATGATAAGTTTCAACATTTGCATTATCGAAATAACAAAAAGGCAAGACATATCTCTGTGTTAACAGTTAATTAAGACTTAAAATTGTGTTACTTTATATCTATAAATGAGAAATGTCTACCGTTCATTTCTTCCTAGAAATATGATTGGTAGAGAAAAAGTAGTAATTTTCCCTCTATATCTTAACAAAAGAAGCTAAAAAAATTTTTTTTTCTGGAGTTAATAATTATTTTTAAAAGGCACATAGCATACATGACGCATGTTTTACGCATTCTTATAAGGTACGTCAATTGCTGTGCCCGCATTCGCTTTAATAAGTGTTACTTTGGCTCAATAGAGTGCAACTATTTCCGTGAATTTTCCAACAGAAAACAGAAAACACTTCCCTAGCTATAACGTCGTAGCACCTGATCTTACCCACAACTTCAGTTGCACAAATCATAAACTAAGCTTACCAATATGCAACGTGCCCTCTTTCAAAAATTTTATAAAAAATGTAATATATGACATTTACAATTTTGTTGTTAAAACTTATTAGGATAATTTTGGAGAAGATTAGTATGATTATTCACAGATTTGAACACGTTTAAACTATTATTATAATTGTTGCCTTTATTTGGACAACAATAATTTTTAGATAAATTGAATCAATGAATAAATACCTTTGCCAGTATTTTCGTAAAATAATAACTAAACTATTTATGGAATAGAAATTATATTATTATTTGATCATTACAATAAATATGTTCTTAATGGTTTTCTGTAAATGTGTTTGTATGTCAAGTATTTACCTATAGGTATCCGTGATGCTCAGTTCCAATTCAAATCACAATCATGTTTACAATGGGAAATACCCTATTTATCAGCCAAATCACACAATAACGTTGCGTGCAAGAAAACAGGTCTCTAAAGTTCAAGGTTAATCATGTTAATCATTGTCAATACGTACATAAATATTACATAATATATAAAGCAAGCACGGTTTCAGTCGTCTTGACCCCAATTTAGCAATATAAAGCATGTAAATAGAAGTAACTAAAGAAATGTAGGATAAATAACAAGCTAGAAAACAAAGATGTTATTCGAATGCCACTTGTTAGCGGAATTTCGTAACGCAAAATCGACAACAGTCAAATTTGCCGGGAACGACGTTACGTTCACACAAAGGTATTACCGCGTTATTTAACGTTTTTATCAATGCTCTGCAACTTCGAAATTGTTTCTGCCTTTCACATATGGCTGTTTCACACTAACTGCCCTTTTCAAACCAATATCAAAGCTTTGTGGTATCAAATGTGATTTGGCCTGAATAACTTACCATAGACGTCATTAATTTTTGTTTTATTAATTGTGTTCCCTAGTCGTAAGACTGCATATAAACTCACCAGGATGACTGGTTATTTAAACCAACAGAGTTGATTGACAGCATCTATATATTTTTTAATTAACTGAATCAATTTGTGGTTTACATAAATTATAAATATCCTTTTTTTCCCTGTTTACAATAAAGAAATATATTAGGTTCAACAGTGTCACAGTTGAATGTTAAAGCATAAGTACACAAAGTCTGTCCCCTCTAACTTGAAATAAAGTATACAACATATATACTTATGTCTGCCACATTTATTGACTTACATCTAGAAATTGACAACGAGGGTTTGTTGATTGTTTCATTTCTATGAAGCAAAACTCCAAAGGCACTTGTATATAGAGTATATATCTACCAGTTGTGGCGATATTCAAGAGCTTGCATTTCCTATCATATTATATTTCTGCTCACAAGGAACATATAAAACCAAACGTTCTAAGTGTTGAAGTTGAAGTCATCTCTTCGTAATTTTAAGGACGCAATCACGAGTTGGTTGACCGTTATCAAATATCTGTTTCACAGTTGACAATGGATATGTTCCAATTGTCGTCACCCCAATCCCGTCCACTTTCTTAAGTTTTCTATATTGTGTTTTGAAGACTGTTTTATGTCTTTTGGTCGTTTTCCGCCTTTGACCATGGCATTGACAGTTCGTTTTTGACTTATGAGTTTGATTATTGCTTGGCTGTCTTCCGCCTCTCTTGAATTAAAACTCAAAATTATCATAATATCGAGTGAAATTTTTACTATTTTTTGGTGTAAAAAATTTAAAAACAAAATTACCGAACTCCAACAGTGTGTAGCATCCTCACCAAATATACCAAATCTGAAGTTAGGTAAGGTCAACTTCTTCTTATTTTCATCTATTTAGGGCTGATTATGATCAATTGGCTTTCTCTCTCTTCAATTCGTTAGAATTGAATAAGGGGTGCCTGCTCAAAGAAGCATATGACGAGTTCAAACTTGTAAAAACAGATTTATCCTTCGACTATTCATTTGACGTTTTCGTATAACAAAGTTATATCATATATAAGCTTGAACAACACTGTATTTCGAAATAAACAAAGTTATGTAAATAAAGCGGTTAAATTGTACCGCAAATAGATTTGTACTGTACGGGGAATAGAATAGATACTTTTTGCTTTATTGTTTTTTTGCTTCGGGGGTACCTATATTCGGTGGTGATGCTACACAGTGTCGAAGGTTAAATAAAAGGGGGAGTCCATATAAACTGACAAAAACATAAGACATGTAAATGACGGCACTCATGTCTGTTTTATTTATTGAAGTTTTCTTATGGATTTTGCAAATTCAAAAATACCACTTTTACATTAGATTTTACCGACAGCTCAAACATTGTAATTTGTAACGTGAAAACATGGAAGAAGAATATCAGTTACTTGGTCTATGTTGGGCAATAAAAAACCAAAATAACTTTTTGTATGCTCCGGAAAAAGATAAGAGCAGAAAGGGCGATTATTTAAAAACACAAAACAAGAAGAACCATCCACTGCCATTCACCAAAATTCGTTACTTTATTGTACCCAGAAATGAATAGAAAAGGAGAAGCTGCATTTTAACAATTTAACGCAATTCAATTTGAGATGGACCTTTAACAACAGCAGCAAACTACGTCCTTCGAGTATTACTTTAGATGGAAAATATCTACGTTTTCGATTCTTTAACTCATAACGCAATAGGTGAATTAGCATTTTACAGAAACTTTTCAAACACATCCTTTATCAATCAACTATTTTCCATGACAGATAACTTATTGATATGCAACGAACTCAACGGCTATGCAATCTTAATGGTGTCACTAAGCATCACTGATAGACAAAAGCTGTATATAATTAGTTACACAGTTTGCTAGTGACCTTATATATATATCGTATTAGGTCACTAGCACACTGTGTAACGAATTTATCTTACCGACTATCTTAACACGTGGTATTTAGGCTAGTGGCCTCTCAAAGTGATCAAGTCTTCAATGTTATGAACCTGCTTCCATTGGTCTACACCAAAACAAATGCCAACAATAAGAACTTGTTAGCTTTTAACATTGTTAATGTGTTTTCTGCATTTATTTTCGATCGTTCATTATGTCACTAGCACATTTTGTAACATTTTGTCATGTCGGGGCCTTTTATAGCTGAGTATAGAGTATGGTTTTTGGTCACTATTGAAGGCCATACGGTGACATATAGTTGGTTAAATTCGCTTCATTTTGGACTCTGTTGGATAGTTGTCTCATTTGCAATCATACCACATCTCCTTATTTTACATTAGCTGTTCTATCTTTAAAAAAAGTTCCTATTTAAGAAAAATGTTTGTTCTCTGTGGCTTTAAGTCATTAACTTCTGAAAATTTCTAGTATGCCTTTAACAAAATACAACAAAGAACAAAAAAGGGATGAACTCCGAAGCCCCATTAAACGAGGTGCACAAACAACAAAACCAAACAAACAACCAAACAAGTGTTTAATTTTATTAGTTCTTCCACAATTAGAAACTATAATTTACTTGTACTTTATTTGATAAAGACACCGTCAACAAATATCAACGTTTTGGTTAATACTCTTTAAATTTTATTAGTATAAAAATAATAAAAAAAAGACATTGTATGATTGCCAGAGAGGTAACCATCCACCATAGAGGAAATGATAATCAACTTTGAAAAAAAAGGTAAGCAGGCTTTAGATTCTGAAACGCGAAAATAAAAAGGCAAATTTCACATTTATGTGTAAAAGAATTGTTGAAAATGAATTTGAATTTAGGAAGTGTAGCTTCCGTTAAAACGGACAAATGACGTGTTAAGCATTTTTGAAAAACAAACACAAATTTTGTTCAAAGTCAGAACTGAAAATTGTCAATTTGGAATCAGACTTTTAAGTCAATGTCACTGTAATAACGGGTGGAACGTTGTCACATTTTGCTTCTAATAGTTTCTCATATCTCTCATTCCACGTTCTGCTAACGTACGGAATTCTGCAAAAGAAATACAAAACGAGTAAATATAAGCCGTAAGTATAGAGGATTTTTTACAATGTCGACTATAGAGTAGTGAAAATATTAATCAACCTATGGTTGCCTATAGTCGTAATTTAACCTTTGGCTAAGACATAGTATTGTTTTCACTTACATAACTTGTGATTTTTGACTTGTGTAATTATTGGTATGTTAAAAAAAAAAAGAAACACCAAACACAATCCAACACTGCTCTGAAGAAACGTTACAATGGTGAACCATGGTTGATAAAGATTTTAATTAACTGTAGCCTATCGTATTTTTATTTTCTATTTCCTTATTTTTATTAATACTATCAATATAATGGCTTTGGAGATGTCATTTTTTCGGAAAAGGAAACATTTGGTAAACACAAGGAGTCAGAACATGAACTAAACAAATTAATACTTCTCTTGCAGTATCTATTAAATGAACTAATTACTTGGGCTGGGGACAATTTAGACTGATATATCTTTTGGCGTTTCTTCTGTTACCGGAGAGAGTGATTCTAAATACAAAATCACTTTGTTTCCTGCGAGACTCGAACCCGGGACCTCTGTGTTACAAGGCAGCGCTATAACTGATTGAGCTAAAGAAGTACTTTCCTAGCTCAACCGCTTACGGCTGGCTAAGTATCTACTACATGTTCTAAGGAAAGCAATCCCGTCACTCTTTGACTTATGGTTTCTGATTGCATCCTGGGTATCTTCATTGTTTCAATGATTTACAAATGACAACACTGTATGTCAGACTTTAATTGACTTTTGTCTAAACAACTAACTAATTTTACCCTTTCAAAATTTAATGCATTCTAAGTAATGTTTTCAAAAACGTATACCAAAGCATCGTGATCGGTAAACAATGTCATAAACAATGGTTACCAACCAATGGCGTTATGTTATATTTATTTTGGGGTACGGACATTGAAATTAATTACCCACAATCTTTTCGATTTGAATCGATAAATTTAAGAGATGCCATCTTATTTTATATTAACACCAAATTCTCAATAGGCTTATAACTTAATTAACGGCGCTGGTAAAAAGCAAAAGTACGATCTTATTCATTATGCATGATCAATTAGCGACAGAATTCAATGACAGTTTCAAGGAAGGAGACGTAGATTGAGTACGCCCCTCCATTGTCTGGAAGATATATCATTATCTAACATAAAATCGTCCAAAACAGTATTCGCCTTGTACGTTCGGCAGTATTTCTTAAGCTTAAATCCTTGATCCGCCCCTGGACTTAAATAGATCAACATTCTGTAAATTTCATCTTCGAAAAGTTTACAGACATATTATTAAGGACATATTGAATGCTTTTGACAGAACTGCTGACGTCTTTGCATAATGCCTTACAATGCCACTGTACAAGAAACAAGTGAATTTGAAGTGTTTACTTAAAAATTTGTATAACACATATCTCAATGATCAAGAAATAGAGCAAATATTGTCATGCTTCCAATATGCTAGATTTTTAACTCGAAAAGTTGATATTACAAAAACCTCAAAGACATCATAACACAATACACGTTTTCATTTTTGCAAGATGTCAGTATGAGTAGATCTTCATATCATGAAACTTGATTTAGTGCACCCCTCGATTAAGAAATGATGTAAAAATCCTAGACGTAACATGGAAGTAATATCAATGATATATATTCATTTAACAATAATACACTACTGTCCCAACTTAGGTGAGGATTTTGCGCTTACAAACATTTAAACCCACCATACTCTTTATGTGTCTGTCTAAAATCAGGAGCCTGTTATCCAATGGCTGTCGTTGGTTGCTGCCTCCAATTATTGTTTTTCGTTTATTGCTTGATTGATAATCAGGGCTTTGGTTATCTTTTATGATTCTTTTACACATTTTGTCATGCCAGTGCTTTTAAAGTTTACTATTTTTTATTTTATATAAGGATATCATCAAACTTACCTCCAATTTCTAGCTCTTCATTTCCGTTTGTGTCAATTTGAGGTATGGCTAAGGTGAATATTTGTCTCCATCGATTCTTGCTGTAGTCCAGTCCAGGTATGTTTGCATTTGCATAAAATGTGGCAAATTCATTGCCATCAATGTGGCCATCCCTATTTGTATCAATCCATCTAAAAGCCATGGCAAAGGCATCTCTCTTTACAGTGTCTCTCTTTTGTACCATCTGTTTTGAAAATTTGTATCATTTACTATTTGATTGTGTTAACAGATAATGTTATGAATATATGAATAGGATATAAATTGCGTGAGGATGTAAGATCGGAACAAACTAATAGGTTTATTAATTGAAAAAATCATTTTAATAACAAGTATATTGACAAATTCAATGGTATTAATCGATTTTACATTAAACATGACTTTGGAGGATTTAACTTTGAACGCTATAGGATTAAGGAGAGTCGATACAGTTTAAAATTTAATTCTTCCTTTTTTCATAACACGAAACATACTGTAGGCGTGATGAGGCTACAAGACAAACAAGGCAGATTTTGTTATCATTATAATTTGTTTTGAGAAAATATTTTTTCGTCAACTTTAAATTTTTTAAGAATATTTCTTCGGTAATGATATAATCAATTTTTTTTCATTTTTATCGTTTTTTATAAATAAATGCGTATAGAAGAAATTAAATCAAATGCCAGCATCTTTGCATATACAAAATACATGCCAAAAAATTGTATATTTGTTAGCAATTCTATATGGTTCTTGTATTGACACTTTTAAGAAATTTCATACATGATTTGGCTCTCACTGTGCATTTGAAATACTAAGTAAATGCATTAACATATTAGTCACCTTGCTTATTTTTGGGAAAATTCTAAAAAGGCAACTTAAAATGGGATTCCGTAATTTTCAGAAAATTCACTTCAACGCTCGGTAAAGTTCAACTTGTCCCCCGCGGATTTCGAAGTGTAGTGCAAATGTGGGCAACGCCTCTGCTGAAAAAAAAATGGCGTTGGTTCATATGAAGCAGCAGAACATTGCTTATACTAGCTATTCGATGGATAATTTTGTTAAGTTGTCTCATTTCAAGTCCAATGATTGACTTCTGTTTTTTACGACAATATCATACACAAAACTGTTTACAAAGGGGCGTCGATTGTTTGTGTTGTCAGTTAGATCCCATGCAAATGTAAATGCTCCTCTCCAACCCAAATATTTTTTAACTCTCATCATTGATGCTCGTTCAATAGAATATCATTTATCATCAGTTTTCAAACGACAGCAATTAACCCAGACAAATGTTACTGCTACATGATCAGTAGATGTCGTTATGTTTTAAGTATATCAATTTGATCTAGATGGGCGTTGTTTAAGCAGCTTCGTAAATAAAGTATGCTCTATTTGTAAAGATCGGTAAATTGTTCAACTTATTTTTCTATTCGTTATCTCAAAATACATGTTTTAACTAGACAAATGTGAGACCTAAATCCTTGCTTACCTGGTGATATTAGTTTATTTTATGTTTGTTATATATGGGATGTAACTCTAAACGCGATAATTTACGTTTAATGCTATCTAGACATGTTGAAGGAGTAGTCACAATAGCATTGACTTAAAACTTTGATTTTCAAATTGACAATATGAGTCGACATTTGGGGAATCATATTTTCAGAGTTTAAATAAAAGAAGCATATTCCCAAGAATTTTTTGATAAACCTTTAGTTGATAAAATTACCAGTTTAAGATAATCTTAAAATTGTCAGGAAATTAATTGAAGCTACCAAAATTTTTAATTTTTAAGCCTAATTGTTTTCGAAACAAGCACTGCATTTTATTTAATCTTATGATTTTTAAAATATCTCATATTAATCTACAACATACATTATCTCAAAAACATAAAAATAACAATAAAACTGCATCGACTTCCCTTCAAGTAATCATTTCTGGTAAAACATTTCAAGTGTAAATTTAAGGGAAAAACATTAGTCTTGGAAACGTAGTATTTATCATACATTGACATTGCAGCTGTTTTTGAAAATTATTCGTTAGTCCATAATGGACTTTAATGATATGATGAAACTATTCGATTTACTTCTATCTTCGTTAAAACTATCTGTTTATGAATCCAATTTGTTTTTCAATTTCTGCTAAATTGATCGTTTCATTATTTGGCTTGCCAGCAATATTTAATCCAGTATATATACTACTTACCGATGTAGTTTTGGCAATCGCCTCATAAATGGCGGATCCTTCCTTAAATTTGAATTTAAAAGGAGAAGCAAAACTTGCAGCCACAAGGCAACATAATAATATCAGGGTTTTCATCTTCCGAAAATTGGAATTCAATTAATGGATGCTGGAAAAAGAAAAAAGAAATGTTTTTGAAACTAATAATCCTTAATACATTATTTTTCATATGTTATGAAAATTAAAATTAGAGGGTTTTTTTTAACTATTGATCCTTGTTGTACTTTATCGAAAAAATTCTAATATGATTACAGTTAGCACAAAACGTGTTTCCATCGTGTAACCTCTATCAGAAGCGCAAGAGACCAACATTTGCAATATTCCGCTTGAGCCATACTGCATGGTTAGATTAAAAGTTTTGATAAATTGCAAACTTGATAACTTCATCGAATGATTGCTATGATGAAATAAAATGTTAATTGAAAAATGACTGCTTAACGTTCAGCGGCAAATTGTATATGCATATACAGCACGATAATATGTTAATGATATATAAATACACCCTGCTTTGTACTAGGCAGACACGCTGTGTGTTGAAGCTTGGTGACGAAATAGCAAAAGCTAGTTCTGGAGACCTTAGTTTGACACAGCTCGGCAACGAATATTTGACCTCCAGCACTGAAACCCCCAAGGGTGACTGGGGAATAGAAATATGGTCACCATTGGTTTTCCTCCGAAAGGCAGTAAAACCCTTGCTAAAGGGGGCGTCCGTTTGGCTGTGCGGGATGTACAAATTTGCAGCCACGTCCAGTCAGAATGGGGACGTTAAATCCAATGCCTTGTGTAAAGAGAGTGCCACATTCTTTGCACGTTAGGCACCCTTGATACAACTCTTTTGAGGGGTCCGTAGGTGACCTGTTGCAAGGCTAAATTTCTGTCCCTATCCAATTTACCCTCATTTCCCGTGGCAGTCTACATTTCTCCGACATTAATCCCGGAAGCCCCTGTTACAGAACCTACCTGTTGTATTTATTGTTAATGTGTTCTCGTCCAGAATATGCATGATATATTTGCCACTGGACATTAAGCAACCAACAATCAATCAATCAATCCAGCACTGAATACGAGCACCCTCCAAGAATACTATTGAGGCGAATGAAAATAATATTTGAAGAATGTTACAAGACTAATTCGGTATACTTCGGTAATCATCGGCAAATTTCTGAAATCAATCTTTCGTTTATCTCGATACGGTTAACGTATGTGTCAGACTTATATCACAGTGCTGCAGACTAAATACCGCTATTATCAGATGTAATGTTTCAAACAATCAATATTTCTGGCATCATTATCGCCTTAGAATATTTCCGTTACTGCAGGGATTATATTTTTAATTTTTTTAATATTTGTTATTCCTTTTCCAACAAGGACCCGGCAAAGTAGATCATCTTCTTTCAATAAAAAATAGAAAGAAATTAAACTAATGCCTGTTTTATAATGCTATCGTATTTTGCGATTTATTACATTTAGATTAAAAAGGTTTGCAGCTTTCATCATGGCACACTATTGACGATGTTTTGTGGGTTTAATACTTGGTGTTTATTCAAATCATAATATTTTGCATTATTAAATCTACTTTCAAGGTCGAAACTGGTATGCAGAAATAAAAACAATTCGACTGTTGTATAGTAAGCAACTTGTGCAATCCTGCCATGCATCAATTCATTGAATTTTCCCCTAACCACAAAGTTCTTGTAAAATTCATGAATTATGCGTTCAGATTTATTGAAATAATATTAGCATTGAGTAAATGTAGGAAATAGTGTTCAAACTTATTTGCAAGTAAAGGTTAGTAACAAAGCACTGAAGGGTCAAACTACTTTAAATTTTTTAGTATAGTTCATTTGTAAAAAAATGAATTATGAAGATAAAATTATAAAATTATAAAATTCAGAATACATGTATATATCTAAGAAATTACAGGTAACATTCTTTTATTAGCACGTACCGTCAACATTTCCTTTTAAAATAAAGTACACACTTTTATCATAAAAACCTTACCTTTTTCTGAATAAACCGCTGATCTATTCAACTCTAATGTAGCAAATTAAACGCTCTCAATGAAGGAGTAAGTAAAATTGTCGACTAAGAACCAATCATATTACTTCGGCAATTTTCGTTAAAACGTCGGGAACAGTCGAATATGTACGATATATATTTGTACATAATCAAATTGACACTTTATTGATTTAAAACATCGAAAACGCTTTTCTGAGATAACCTACGTTAAGAATGCTAAAAAAAAATTGAAAGCGGATGATGTATAATTACTTGAGGAGCTAAATGACCAAAAGGAACCTAAAAAATAGCAAAACTATTTTAAATCAAATTTGCTTGAAGAAGTTTGCACTTTACTTTATTAATAACTTCTTAATTCATCAATGAAAATTTGAAGAAAATGTCTCTTTTAAATCAGGTCCATGGTGTAACACACTGACTATGTGGTTATTGATACCATCGACAACTAACAGTCCACCTGCAGGCGGCGGTTTTGACCAAGTTCTAGTATATAAATAAACCATTGATAGATATTAAGCTTCCAGAACGCTTTTTTTTTCTAGATTTACCGTCAGGAATATGCTAAATACCCCCCTCCCCCAAAAAAAAACCAAACAAAAAAAAAAAAACCCAAAAAAAACCCAAAAAAACCCAAAACAATGAAATTCGAATATATATGCATGTAAATACTCGAGGAGCTAAACGCATAAAAGAAAAGAACTTCAAAGAATAATGATTTTTGTAAGGCCAAATTGGAACCTTAGTTAAAAATAATTTCTAAATTCATCAACAGAATAACAATATATGTACAACCTCTTATAGTATCAACTTGAAAGGATACGTTTAAATTACAAAGAATAAGTACTTCCGTCAAAACACTTCATTAAACGTGAAACTCTGAACCGTCACTTTAAGTGTTAGATGACAAGTTCAAGTATACACAATTGAATTTGTTTCCATTTCAAAGAGACACTTCATGACCGCGATTCTAACAGTCTGGACACAGTTTCAATTGATTTGTACTTTTGGTTGAAAATTTCAATTTACAAACATTATCTCAAATAACTAGAAATGACAGTAATATTCCAAAGTGTAATAACATAGACAGACCAGGGGAGATATGACAGAAGGGACAGTTCCGTAATTTTGCGTTCCCCCTTTCATTTTGTTTTTGACTACAGAGGAAAAACATTAACATGATACAAGGATTTAATAGACGAAAAAAAGTGTTATTCCTCAATTATTGTCAAAGAACCATTTCTAACAAAAATGTTTTGATCATTACTAGTATTAAAAAAGTCTTTAAAGGAATATGAATATTTTCTTATTACTTTTTCAACAATAATCAATTGCAAACAGTTCGAAATACTGCTGTGTAAATAAGTTGTCACTAGGGCATAAATAAAGGCAACAGTAGTATACCGGTGTTCAAAAGTCATAAATCGATTGAGAGAAAACAAATCCGGGTTACAAACTAAAACCCAGGGAAACACATCAACTATAAGAGGAAAACAATGGAACAATAGGAACACTTAAGTGCAACAAAAACAAACGCCAACATACATAGAAACGAACTATTTGATAACAACTGCCATATTCCTGACTTGGAAAAGGACATTTAAAGAAAAAATGGTGGGTTGAACCTGGTTTTATGGCTAGCCAAACCTCCCGCTTTTATGACAATGTTAAAAAATATCGTTAAAATGACAAAACTACGTGACAGAAATACAGCACAAACACACGCAAGAACACTAATAACAGAGAAACGCACAAACAAATAATATCATAGTCGACACAACATGCAAACCGCAGAACAACAACGAACATCTTCCATCAACGATAGACACCACAGGACATCGAAAACAGTGACGCACTTACGTAACGAATATGCAATCTCGAACTTTATACAATTATTTTCACAATACCAGTCCAAACAATTTTAATGACAATGATGGTATTGAAAGGCAATTTTATAATAATTTGGACTACAAACGATAAGACATAACACATTATCCAACCGAAACCATAACAGAAACATCAAAAATAAATACATGAATGTTGGATGTACAAAATACCGAGACACGTCGTATAGCAATGCAAACTCACACTCGGTATAACAGTCATATTCGGGAATAGGTCGCGTTTGGTACTTAGCAGACAGACGACATAGATGTTAACCACAATCTGAGACGTGGTAAAAATGTCATTAGTTAGTTTAGACACAGACACATCGTATAGATGATGTCCATAAAATTTACGGAGTGTCATTTTTAATCTTTCCTTCTCATAACTCTGTTGGAGCAGTTTCTGCGTAAGGAGCACACTCCTGTATATGAAGTCAGTATAGTGTGAACATGCACTAGCATAACGTATCAATTGAGATATATAAACACCATACGACGGAGCAGAGGGTATGTTACTGCTGAGAAATGGGAAATTGATAATTGAGAAGTTGAAATCATCCCGTTTGTCATAGATTTTAGTGTGAAGTCGTCCATCTGTGTCAATATTGAGGAAAAGATCAAGGTATGAAGCAGTCCTTCTTGTATCAGTAGTATCCTTAATTTCAAGTTCACTGGGAAATATGAGATGCAAGTACTGACTGAAATATGGGTTATTCAGTGATAGGACATCATCAATATATCTGAAAGTCAAATTAAAGAATTTTGCAAGGTGCTTTTTTCTTTTTGTCTTTTAGAAGGTTCTGAATGAATTCTGCTTCATACGAGTACAAAAACAAATCGGCCAGAAGGGGTGCACAATTAGTACCCATTGGAATACTGACTGTCTGTTGAAATATCAATCCTCCAAACTCAACAAATATTGTCGATTAAAAAGTCCAGCATTTTGATAATATCATCTTCACTGTATGTTCTGATATTATCAGTGTGGTTCTTCACAAAATAAGAATTATTATAACCCAAAACAAGAAATTTATATCTACGATTCCTATTTTTATAGAAAAAGCTGTGTTTAATGAGATGGTGAAGTCGATCTTTCAATTGAGCATGGGGAATAGTAGTGTAAAGCGTAGAAAAATCAAAGGTTTTAATGTTGCTGCAAAATTGCAAAGATTGTGATCTAAGATTTAGCAGTAGATCTTTAGAATTTTTGAGAATCCACATCTGATTGACACCACTGGTTGAATATATCTCATCACAATATTTTTGAAGGCCATCTTTTACTGTAGAAAGAATAGTAGTCAACACTTTAGAAAGATTAAAGCTTTGAATACATTAACTTTAAAGTTAAGGTGAAAAGATAGATGATTCGATTTGTTACACTGCGTTAGAGAATTTCAATAGGAAGTTAATTATCTAAAAAAAAAATATGGCAAAAATACCGAACTCCAAGGTAAATTAAAAAAGGGGAATGTCAAAATCAAACGTTATCAACCACCGAAAGAATAAAAAAAAAAACTCAAATTCCTGACTTGAAGAAAATGATGGGTTAAACCTGGTTTTTGGATGTGTTTTAGCTTTTGATTTTGCCATTTGATAAAGGACTTTCCGTTTGAAATTTTCCTTGAAGTTCGGTATTTTTGTTATTTTACTTTTTTTATAGCTAGCTGAACCTCCCACTTGTATGACAGTTGTTTATAGATCCGTTTTATTGACAAAATTGGGTGAGAAATCCAAATAGACATTTAGATCATTCTGTTTTATATTTCACCCTTTTACCATTCGTTCATACGGAAACGTAAAAAAATTGCTATTGACAATTTTTGATTAATACATATTCTTTCAAACAATGTGGAAAAAAGCCCTATACATCATCTTTAAATTAACATTACCTTTAAAGAAAAGCACAGTCTATTAACTGAAAAAAAATATTTTAAATCATTGTGTATGCTATACCGTACAACCAAAAGGATAAAAAATGAATGCTTCAGTAAATGAATTATTCCTTTAATTGCTCGAATAAAGGGAGACAACACTGTATGACATAATCTAATATATAATAATGTTCCCCTACAACGTTTTCTACTTAATAAAAACGATCATATTGATGCCATTAGATATCTTGTAAAAATTGTGTTGCTCAATCCCATTTGTTTAGTTTAGTGTTTTGTATGGTATCTATTTGACCTGTGTTTTTTTTCATATTTTTTTGAAATCTGATTGCCTAAATGCATCTTTACTTCATAAATGAGGTTAATCAAATATTTGTAATATTTGCGTAAAATTGCATTTTATATATTTGTAGGTATTGATATTAAATACAACCAATAAAATAGCACTTCATTTATAACCATTTATTTTATATTTATGTAAGTTATGCTCAATTTTGTAATTTTGCATGTTGACCTTAAGAGCAAGGAATTACAGAAGGCAAATAATTTAGGATTTATTTCCAACTGGAATATATAATATTAATAAAATTATTACAGGCTAATTGCTTCATTCAAATGCATATATTGTGTTTGAACAGAAACTATAAATTAAAAAAAAAATATAAATAAATATAAATATATGTAAAGATAGACTGGCTGGTTTGAAAAAAAAACCAATATTCTATCAAGATCAAATTCAATTTCGTTTTGGACATTTGCGGAAATAGAGTTTAAGTTATCCTTGGCACATGTACTGTGGCGCTCTCGTTCAACAGAATTTCTTTAGACGGCAGTATAAAAAATAGGCGGAAGATACAAAGGGGACAATTCTAGCTCATAAGGGGAGGGAAACTAACAACGCCATGGCAAAAATGAAAGACGATGAAAAGACACACAAGTTCACAAAATACTTCATATAGAACTATAGAGGTTGCATCACAAACCCCACCTAAATGTGATGAAATTAGGTGCTCCGTAAGGGTGAGCCGATCCTGTTCCGCTAATAAAACCCGTCGTGTTGCTCAAGGTTAGTACAAATTTGGCGATAAGTCTGGATTCAGTACAAATTAGTGTTAAATCATATGATTAAACATCCGATTGACACGAGTTTTTCTTTGAGCTTATTATTATCGTCTTATTTAATGTTGTTTATTGGTCCGTTATGCTCCAGGAATTCTATTACTAAAGTGTGCGGAATCGACTACCAATGGTGGAATATAATATGCTAAATGTGCATATTGTACATCTGTATCGCTTTTGTATCTCGTACATTTAAATCACATAATTTTCAAACAAACAAATGTTTA